AAATTGTGATGAACATTGTAACTTCAGCTTTTATTGTTCGAATTGTTCAATTAATCTGTCAAAACTTCTGAGTGTTGCCAGTTTTTGGACCTTGAGGCGCGTTATGAGACAATAGACACAATGGAGTCCTTAAGGGTACATATATGAGTTGAGAAGGCCATTAGGTGCACCAATTAACACGAATAGTACGCAAGAGATGATGTGGCGCAACGGATGTTTTATATATGTATGGTGTATGTGAAAGACATGTTCGACATACACCATAGCATAGATGTATATGGTATGGCACAACAATGTTATGTCTTATAACATAACTTCGATTAAGAGGAAGTATGTTTCACCAATTTCCAATTCGAGATGTTTCGAAATGTACGCTTATATGTGGTTGCATGTGGTGTGTATATGTGTAACGTCCATGAGGTATTTGAGGGGTATTTTAGTACTTTACACATGACTTTCTTTGCCTTACTCCATCTTCTTTGTTTTGTATTCACTTTATAAACCAAAATCTGTGTGTGACATGTTGTGTGCTATCGTACAAGAGATTTTTTTGGGGGCACTTTAGTACTTTTACACATATTATTCTTCGACCAAAATGCCATCTTCATCGCCTTGTATTCTGCTCGTCTTTACCATTTTCTTAGGTGGCGTTTGTTTTTTAAGAGATGTTGAAGTCTGAAGTCTGAATTCACTTCTGATTTTTAAGAGCTGGTGCTGAAGTCTGAAATCTGAATCAGCTAAACTGTTTGTTTTTTACGTCTGAAATATGAAGTTTGAAGATGAGAGATCGAGAGTTGATATGGATCGACAGCTGACTAAGTTGAGAGATGAGAGATCGAGACAGAAGAGTTGATTTAGAGAAATCGAGCGCAAAGAGATCAGAGTAGGTAGGCGACAATTTGAAATAAGAGATAATAAGAGGTTTCGCAACCACTTAAATTTTCAGACCTAATAAGAGCTTTTAAGCTTTTAATTGGAAAAAAAAACAAACACACTGAATCCTCTTATGTCTGACCGATTCAGACTTAAGAGGACATAAAGAGCTTTTTTTATTAAAAACAAACAACCCATTATTATTTTTCATCTTATTTTTTTCTTGTCATTCTTTACACTTAAAACAATATCTCACCAAAGGGCCTTTAGTCTGGTGGTATGTGAGTCATTGGCCTCCTAGGATGTCAATGGTTCAAACCTCATCAAAAGATGAGGATAATGTGTGAGTTTATTTGTTCTATTTACTGTATATAAATATTATATACTTAAAAAAAATATCTCAAAAAACAAATCAAAATTAAAATATGAAATTTTACAAATTTACAGTTATTTAAAAATATATAGTTTGAAATACAATTTAAATAAATAATAGATCAAACTTTATATAAAAAAAGCAATGATGATTGAAAGTTATTCTAAAGTTGTTACATTATCATACAACACATGGGTGTTGAATCTTTCATGATTTTGCAAATGTGGAAAGTGTCCTCATGACCACCCATTGCCCATCATCACTTTCCAAAATGAAAAATAAAAGATAAAATTGCATCAAAATAGAACCAATTTTCATCTAATTTTTATTTTGGGGAACTAATTTTCAAAATCATCATTTTGGGGAACCAACTTGCATCTGATTCTTATTTTGGGGAACCAATTTTTACCTAATTCTTATTTTGGGGAACCAACTTTTAAAATGGTCATTTTGGGGAACCAACTTTCAAAATCGTCATTTTGAGGAACCAACTTGCAAAATAATTATAGAAAAATAACTAAAATTCGTTTTTTTTTCCAAAAAATAATGCAATAAAATCTATTTTTCATTTCAAATCTCGTTTTTTTTTTATAATTTATATATCAAATTGAACATTTAAAAAAGAATAATCCAAATTACCACAATAAAAATTGTTTTTTACTAATGCAAAAAAAATTAATTTAATAGAAAAAAATTAATTGATGCACAATTATTATTTTTTCTATTTTTGGTGCCCCAAAATGATGATTTTGAAAGTTGGTTCCCCAAAATAGGAATTAGGTGAAAGTTGGTTTCATTTTGGTGCAATTTTCCCAAAATAAAAATACTTATTGATTTATTAATTTATATGATATATATATATATATATATATACTAATTATTTGATTTTCAATAACTTATTTCAGTTTTTCTTTCAGTTGTAATGCATGAATTTTAATCTATCTGGATGAATTAAACTAAATTGATGCTCTGTTGTTATGAGGAACAAAAAATCTGAATAATTTAAAATACCATTTTACCCTTTCGGATTGCTTCCCCCCCCMCCCCCCAAAAAAAAAAAGGTTACAACAATTCAATTTCATTCCTTCAAGAATTGCAACAAACAAACTTATCAGGTAATGAGTAATAGAGCTATCAAGAATCACAAAAAACCATTATTTAAAAAAACCCATGAATCAAATTCTCCAAATAAACTGAAACAATGCATATTGATAAGAGCATCTTTTACTAGCGGGATGAAGGTAACAGATCAAAAATTCAAACCTGTGCATATAATTGGAGATGATGTACTTATTTAAGATATTATAGATTTAAACCCTACCTTGATTTGATCGTCCACCGATGTCAACGTGTGATGCTTCCTTATACTACAACTAACTAATCTGATATATACATTACCGTCAACTCATCTTCTCGTATCAAACCCAGTTGCCGTGAAGTTGTTAAAACAAAACCCAGGATTGGAAATCTACTTGACGAAATCAGAACCCTGGTTGCCATTAGTTTGAGACCAGAAAAGAATGAACGTGAAATTGCTGCAAACAAACACCAAGATAACGAATCTCCTGATGAAACAAGAAGCCTAATCTCGTTTTCTAGATCATACGACGAGGGAGGAGGGCAATAATTGAGGACGAGGGATGAGGCAATGATCAACTGTAAGGGAGCACATGTTTAGAAGGTTTTCCCTTGTGGAGACTTTGTGTTAATGTAAATGATATACGTGGAATAATTATGGCTGAATGCGAAAGGGCACATATGCTTGGTTGACTGAATAATCAATTCACTGAAACATTAAGGGGTTGTTTGGCAGTTGCTGAATGGTTTGGTGCAGAATGATTATGTGGTCAAAATGATTAAGAGACTCTCATAATATAGTGCAAAATGAAATGTAATTGTTTACAATAGAATTAGGGTGTTGAATGGTTAAGGGAAGCTCAAGATACAAAATCACTCAGAGGGTTTTGGAACCATTAAGAAACAAATTTTTTTTACCAAACAAGATTCACCTCTTAGCGATTCAAAGGCTGTCTTCTAATGGAACTATTAAGAGGTAAACAAACAGCCCCTAAGTCACAACCGAACAGATCTATATGACTTACCTAATAAGCTATACAAGTTATTTAGCCCATTATGTTTTAAGATAACTAATATTAAAGAAAAACAAGGTTTACACACTCAACCATTGGAGCTCAAGCTAGAAGTTATACAAAGTTACAAACTCAACCACCCACGAATATGATGTCTTAAACATATGAATTCGATGATCATTCTATTCCGAATTTTTGGTTGTATTCAACAAACTAGCTAGTAAAACTAGGTCTTATCTAAAAAAACAGTTGTTAGCCAATAAACCAGTACCATTTGGTAAAAACTAACTGATAAACTAGACAATAATATAAAATGATTTAAACATGTTGAAAAACTATTCAATTCTAAAATATAAGAAAAATAACCGAAAAAAGGGTAAGAAGTCCTTGAACTTATTAAAAGAATATCTTAAGATAATTTTTCAAAAGTTAACTTACGACTTACCAAACGGAATTTTTTCAATAAACCCATTTTTTTATATAAGGAGGGAGGAGACCTCTCCAGATCAAGCAAAAAAAAAACACTAAAACGCAAGATAAAAAGCATTCGGTGTGGGCGAGTCCACAACCCAAATTTTAAGAATAGGTGTGGTTGTCACAAAATCTATTGTCCAAATTTTCTTTTCTCAGCATATCGACCAATCACATGAAGCCAAATCATCAGTATAGTAAGGAAAGAGAAAAATACGTGAATAAATAAATATTGAGGAAAATAATATTAATTATTAATTACAATTAAATTAAAATTAAAAGGGAAAAGTACAATAAAAACCAATGAACTTTCTTGTTTGGTATGATTAAGTCCTTGAACTTTTTTTTGGCACAAATAAGTCCTTGGACATTCTAAAATATGTTAAATAAGTCCTTGGACATTCCAAAAAATGTTAAATAAGTCATTGGACAATTTTTGGAACAAATAAGTCCTTGAACAATCCAAAACATGTTAAATAACTTCTTGAACTTTTATAAAACATGTTGGATACATTCTTATGACTTGTACAACTAGTTAAAATGGTAATTATTTTTTTGTAAATGTAAGTACTTTTTTGTTATATTTGTTTAATTGTATAGATCTAAATACTTTTTGGTTCAAAAAATATTTAGGGGCTTAATCGTTCAAAATATGAATGTTCATTGGGGTTTTTTCCGGGATTTTTTTCACTATTTTACCACTTTATTTTTTTCAAAAAGTTATTTAACATGTTTTGTATTGTTCAAGGACTTATTTGTTCCAAAAATTGTCCAATGACTTATTTAACATTTTTTGGAATGTCCAAGGACTTATTTGTTCCAAAAATTGTTCAAAGACTTATTTAACATATTTTGGAATGTTCAAGGACTTATTTAACATATTTTGGAATGTTCAAGGACTTATTTAACATGTTTTGGAAAGTCTAAGGACTTATTTGTTCCAAAAAAAATTCAAAGACTTAATCATTCCAAACAAGAAAGTTCATTGATTTTTATTGTACTTTTCCCCAATTAAAATAAAGGAATGAGTGGAGAACCGGAACGAGTTGTGGGATTTGCCGGCTTGTGACAACCAAGACGTGGGATCCATTTCCGTACATTAAAGAGACTTGGAAATCAAAACCAATCCAACGGTCTAGATCACATCTCTCTCTCTTCATATAAGTCTCTCTCATTTTGCATCTCTCTCAGACCCTCTCATCTCTCCCAAGTTTACAGCCATTTTCCTAGGGTTTCATCAGGTATCATGTTTCATTTATCCATTTTCCCTCTCTTTTTTTCATGTTCTTGGAGTTACATTGCTTCAATCAGTCCATAATTTTGTTGTTTTTGGGTGGTTTTCAAAATTTATTTATATTTGGATTCGGTTTGACTGTTCTAATTTGCAAATCGGTGAAGTTGATTGCTTTTTGTGTGATTAATTCCAGTTTTTGTTGTTGGCTTTAGTTGATGTTCTTTTGTTTGATCTGTCGAGTATGGGAAGTGATTTTCTGGCTGATTAGGTTACATTATTGGTTTGCAACTGGTTAGGAAGTATTGATAGTTATGATCCATGTTAAATTGTTGCTAATTTGGAATGCAAAGTGTAAGGGATAGTGTCTCACAAGTTCATCATTGGAAATTTTATATTCTTGCATCTATATGAAAAAGATCGAACACATTCTTAATCACACTACATGGGAATGAGGGCAACAGCTGAGTTTTTATATTTCGAGTCATTAGAATAAGTTTTCATTGAAAAATCTTTGTGATTTTGCTGTCGAAGTTGATTTCGACGTTTGCATATGTTATACCTTAAGCATGATGGTTCTTGTTTCCGGTGTTCCAAAATTCCATGAAAGTAGCCTTGCTTCCTTTTTTTTCTTCCTGATTGTTGTTTGTGTTGGGAAAAATGTACAATCTGGATGGACTAGTTGATTCACGTGTTTTTAGAATACGTAGTTAAAGGAACATAGATGGAGGGTTTATATATAGTTGCACTTCCGAATAGAAGAAATACAATCTGAAAATGAGTTCATGTCATTTTTCATCTTGGGAACATGTTTTTTGATTTTGGCGGATAAAATTCAGCTGAGCTGGAGGTCTCTTTAAAGTAAATCTAGTTGTTATGTAAAATCCATTATGGATAGAAACTTTATAGTCTTTGTGGTTGCTGAATTAGTTTAGAACATCAAAAAGTTGCTAGATACCATGCTATAAGTATCAACCTCGATATGTTCTCCTCTTTGGTTGGAGCCTTGTCTATTATGTTGATTCTGTTCAAGTGTTTATGTTCATGGTGCAGCTTGTATTGAATTTCAGATGTTTCTTATTTAGGGCTGTTTAAAGTGGTGAAACCTGTTATGATTTTTGATCATGGATGTGCTGGCTATATACTTCAATTTTATATGTTGAAGATCTACTACATTTTAAGATATGATGACTTATGCTGTATTTTGTTCTGCAGGTAGCATAAGATGGCAGACGGTGAAGACATTCAGCCACTTGTGTGTGATAATGGAACCGGAATGGTTAAGGTATGATTGTGGTTTCTTTTCTTTGTATCTCACTTGCACACACAAGCAATATGCAACTACAAATGATGTTCCAAGATTTTATCGTTCGTACTAAATAAAGTGAATTTGCTGTTACAGGCTGGATTTGCGGGAGATGATGCTCCAAGGGCTGTGTTCCCAAGTATTGTCGGCCGTCCTCGTCACACTGGTGTGATGGTTGGAATGGGCCAAAAAGATGCATATGTCGGAGACGAGGCTCAATCCAAGAGAGGTATATTGACTCTAAAGTACCCGATTGAACATGGTATTGTCAGCAACTGGGATGACATGGAGAAAATTTGGCATCACACTTTCTACAATGAGCTCCGTGTTGCTCCAGAAGAGCATCCGGTTCTCCTTACTGAAGCACCTTTGAACCCTAAGGCCAATCGTGAGAAGATGACCCAAATCATGTTCGAGACATTCAATACCCCTGCTATGTATGTTGCCATCCAAGCTGTTCTTTCTCTGTATGCCAGTGGTCGTACAACTGGTAAGCTTTTTATGCTTCTCAATCAATTGAAAACTTATGTTGTTTCCTTTAATTGGTTATGATTTTCTTATACCTTCTTCTTTTGTGTGTTATTGTTTTCTGTTAACCAACTTTTTGAATCTTTATCATGTCTGTCTCTCTCTTTGTTACACTTTTCACAAGCTGGGTTTTTCACGGAAATACCATTCTACTATTTGGAGTAGAGGTTAGGTCTGCATGCATCTTTTACTAGCTGGGTCTGTCTACATCTTACCCTCCCCAGATCTCACTTCAGGTGGGATATACTGGATTTTGTTTGGTTTAGTAATCAGTGCAAAACTTCAGATTGGTGTGAAGTCCTTCGAGTCTGTCAGACATGTATCATTAAAATGCAACAATTGTCACACGTGTATCATTCGTACATATCATAATTGAACTTGGCATTCTCACTACTGGCAATGGCCATCTTGTTATCTTTTTAAGTTATCCCTGAAAACAAATTGCGAAGTAACATCGATCTTTGAGTTTGCCGAGTTGGTAGTAATATTGTCATCATTCTTGACAACCTGGTTGAGGAGAATCAAGTCTTTCACGGCTGATTCTTGTTTCCTAACTTCAATGACCACTAGATCTGCATGTCAATTGTACTGCCTCCTTTCCATCTAAATTGCAAATTTGCAACCATTTTCTTTCTGAGCTGTCGATGAAAAATGCATCAATTCTCTTTTTGTAAAAACTGAAAGTTAAGTTTGCTTACTCTTCTGTTATCATCGTTATATATAAATCTATTGTATTGATTTGGATCCACATGATTTTTTTATTCGTCCATGAAGGGTAGTTTGCTTAAAAGTATACTCCCTCCGTTCCAAAATAAATGTTCATAATGAGAAAGGCACACAGTTGTGGACATGTCTAATTATTACACTTTTTGATTAATTGAATGACAATTTTACTCTTAATAACAGAGGGAGTAATTAAATATTTTTCATCTCATGATAAAGGGTAAAATTGGAAAGTCGGCCCTTTCGAAAAGTTTTCGACTTAATTTGGAACCTTATTTTGGGACAGAGGGAGTATGTCAAATCGAATGTTGCAACCTTGATTAGTAATTGATTGTGCTTAATTAGTTGCTTTATATAATTGTATTCTAGTCCTTGCTCTCATATTGTTGTTTGATGCAGGTATTGTCCTGGATTCAGGGGATGGTGTGAGTCACACTGTTCCTATTTATGAAGGGTATGCCCTTCCACATGCGATCCTTCGTTTGGACTTGGCAGGACGTGACCTCACTGATGGCTTGATGAAGATCCTTACAGAACGTGGGTATTCTTTCACTACTACAGCAGAGMGGGAAATTGTRAGAGACATGAAGGAGAAGYTGGCYTACATYGCCCTTGACTAYGARCARGAGCTYGARACWTCCAAGACTARTTCKGCTGTTGAGAAGAGTTACGAGCTKCCWGATGGACAAGTKATYACWATTGGTGCTGAACGTTTCCGTTGCCCAGAGGTGTTGTTCCAGCCATCCATGATAGGAATGGAAGCAGCCGGTATTCACGAGACTACATATAACTCCATTATGAAGTGTGATGTTGATATTAGGAAAGACTTGTATGGTAACATCGTACTCAGTGGAGGTTCAACCATGTTCCCCGGCATTGCTGATAGGATGAGCAAGGAAATTACTGCATTAGCCCCAAGCAGCATGAAGATCAAGGTTGTGGCACCACCTGAGAGGAAGTACAGTGTCTGGATTGGAGGGTCCATCCTGGCATCTTTGAGCACCTTCCAGCAGGTTTGTTTTCAAACATCCATGCTATTGTTATTAACTTATTATTTATGAAAAAAAGCAAAGAATTACTGTCTCAATATTAAGACTTTCTTTGTTGAAATGATAAATAGCCAAAATGACTAGCGATGTGATTGTGGGTCCTGTTAGAATAATTGGGATGGGACCCACAAAATGGAGACTGAATAATGTGTAGAGTGTGTTTTCTACGTGAGCCAGGACAGGACAAAAACTTGTTGTCCCACATTTGGTGCAACGTTTGACTGAGAGGACAGGACCTAACCGGGACAAAAATGCATTTTTCTGTCCCACAAAGATAGGTGGAACAAAACCAGGGAGGTGGAGTCGTAGAGACAAGATTTGTAAATTACTAAAGTGTTCATTTCAAATTAAAACCCTAAAACGTTCAACAAATCTTTCACCTGCCTATCTCACTCGCCCCCTACCAAATGTATCCGGAGGGAACTGAGATAAATGATTGAAACCTAGCATGTGCTTGCTAGAGACTAGAGTAAAGATAAAAATGCAACTTTGAACTTAATTCACAGTGAACAGGTAAAGGAAACAATCAAGATCAAACTCATGAGCTGAAATAAAAAAAAACCCTAGACAAGTTTGATGTTTATTCGACTATTGATCTTGAAAGATCTCTAATTTTGGGATTATGGTGGTTTGTTTTAAATGCAGATGTGGATTGCCAAGGCCGAGTATGATGAGTCTGGACCATCAATCGTGCATAGAAAATGCTTCTGATATGTGCATTTGGATGTTGTTTTGAAGATACGCAGTTTGCAACGTTTTCGTGTAACTTTGTTTTTCTATGTCTATTATATATATATAATGCTGTTTTGTCAAAGTTGGGTTAATGCCATCAAGAGAGCACAAACATGATTGCTGTATGTTCTACAATTCTTTTATTTTAATCCCATATTAGAAGCCATTCCGATTCCTTCATCTGTCTTTTTTTCTTTTTCAACCTTCCCTTGTTGATAAAACCTATAATCTTGTTATGGTTGAATTCATCATCTTCAAGTACCCGTGAAGTCATTGCATATATGGTGATGATTCTTGTAGGATTGCTCAAATGCTCATTCCTTCACAACGAACAAAAGATATCGTTCTTTTTGCCATCTGGGAATCTGGCGCTTTTAATAATAAATCATGTTGGCGATCAGGTACGTTCTACCCTTTTGCATAAAGGCAAAATACATCAAGATGTAACAAAGTTTGTGTTGGTAACCACAAAGGGTGGTGCCTGATTGGTTTGAGTTTGACTCCAAAGGTCAAAAGTACCAGGAGGTCCCAGGTTCAAATCCAAGGAGGAATAAAAATCCCCTTGTGGCCACGAAGGTTCAAATGCGGTGACTCCGGGCTATCTGCAAAGCATGTGGTCGCCCTGGGATTAGTCGGTTCGCATAACGGATTGAATATCCAGGTAAATCAAAAAAAAGTTTGTGCTGGTTTTTATCTAGTTGACGACATAGATAGTTATATCAAGTTTATTGTCCACTTCATCGTAACCCTTTCGCATAACCTTTCTATAAATGGATATCCACGTCATCAAATGTTTTTTTCTCTTTTTTATCTTTCCAACTGCTATCAACTAGATCTAGTCCTATATGAAACTTTAACCTGTATAGAAATGGTGGATAGCATAGCACCATGATAATGATACTTTGACTTTTTTAGTCAAACATGTTAATTCTTTGACTTCCTTGAATTGTTTCTTCACTATTTGAAACTTCATACCAACCATTAGAAACACAAGAACAAAGTGGTATAAATATGTATTAAATTTAATGTAAAGATGTCCACCTCTTTACCCGCTAGTCTAATACTGGGGGATAAATAGTAAAATATCTTAGAAGTGTGTATCTTTACTGTTTCATTGGTATAATTTACTAGAGTATGCTAAATATGCAGGATTTCTATTTGTCTAGATGATTACCGTCGTTTCTTTTGTCCTTCACGTCAATGGGTCCGTATCCTGATGCCCATCGACTCGAAAAGGATGATCTGTGTAGTCCAGATTATCGTCTTCTTCGTCTTCATCTTGATGGTCATCGTTGTAATCAGATTTGAAACATGTTAGGGATCTTGATTCCGTTAATCTTCTTCCAACGTTTTTTTGAGTAAAACTACCAAAACCTTTGATCCCACTCGTGAGCTTACGAGCCCTAGACCTCTCTTGTTTCAAAAAAGATCGGTCTTCGTCAAGCAACTTCAAAATTCGTTCCGATTTCTCTCTTACTCTCAATCCCCAATTGAATCTGCATCTTTCTCATAAGATAATATATTAGTTCAAGCTCAATGCTTTTTGTTGCAAACACACAATTTGTTTCTATGAAAATAAAGAACCCCATCCAAAAGAAAGTATCAGTATTTCTATTTTAGTTTGTTTTAAAATAAAATTTCTATTTTAGTTTGTTCTAAAATAATTGTCTGTTTTTCTTTTTTACCCTTAATTAAAAGATGAAAAGATTTTTTTCTCTATTATTTAATTAATTAAAAAAATTATGTAAATCTAAAATTTTATATTTTTTTTTCACTATAAACATTTAGAGGCCGTTTACCTGGTAAGTGCTTACCAAACAATTTTCCTCATTGGATTAACATAGCAAGGGCCAAGAATCTTACCTGGTAATAGCGACGATTATGATGAAGAGTCTTACCTGGCAAGTGAGGATGACGACTCTTACCTAGGTAAACGCTTATTGGGTAAATTGTTGCATAGGATACCGTTTTGATGTACTACAATCTTATCCGATAAAAATAAATTATAATGTTGATTTCTATTGGTAAACACTTACCGAATAAGTATTTGGGTAAATGACCCCTTATTTATTTTGGGTTATAGAGATGAAAGAGTCTTGTTTGCATACCTATTTTCATCAACATGATGGAAAATACCCATCTCCTTGATAACCTCTTTATCACATTGGAATTCTTCTGAGACTCTTTGTGGACCATGGGTGAGCAAGTGCTCCAATACCACAAGAGCCTTATAGGATCCTCTCCAATTCTCTTCATCAAACTTCCACAACCTAAAACACCCATTAGATTTTGCAAATCTAATTGACAAATCCATCTTTTTAATGCAAAAAAACACACTAAATCTAACACCTTTTGTGAAGAATATCGACAATCCTCCAATAATCATCGACTTCAAAAGCCGAACGTGATATCAATCCCATGGTATGAGTGTCTGGTGGCCATGAATCTTCATCTGTTGCTTCTTCGGTTAATCTTAGACAAACAAAAAACCTCTTTATATGTGTTTAACACAAAAACCAAAGCACGTAAAATAACTATTATGTTAGCAAGAAACATGCTTACAGTTCTGTAGGTGTGACATCTGTTAGGGCCAGCCGTGCAGTCTTGATCTTCTCTTTCAAGAAGAAAGAAGCTTGCTTTTTGAGTTTGTGGAAGGAAGGAGAATCCATCTTTTTTGCTTGTTTTTCGTGTTTGGTGATCTTACGGTTTGCATAAATACCATTATCGATACGACTATAACTAATTTAATTGATTAAATAAATATTATGTATGTTGAATGTGCCCAAAATGAAAAGAATTTGCAACTACTCCATTATCAAAGATAAGAAGTGGATTTGGCTTATGCAATGAGAATGACAAATGTTAAAGGGTTTCAAATAAAGAAACTATGGATTGATGTTAGGTGTTGAGGCATTCAACATTCAAAAAAGCACAAAATGATGATGTTAGGTTTTGGCTAATTGTGCCTGTCTTTAGGTAAATCTCATTCAAAGGCATTTTCGGTCTATTTTTTTTTTGCAAAAAAAATTGTTTCCGAAAATACCCTTGTATGAAACAAGCGACGACAAAATGTCATGTTACTGATCAAACCGAACGCGTTGTTAATAAACACGTGTATAAAGATTTCATTATCTAAGTAGTGAATGTATGCTTTGCAATTGCATGGTTAAAGCACAAGATTATGCATACAACTGTTCCATAGTTACCAAATCCATATTTGGTATGCTAATGGACCAATTAATCCATGTGGAATTTCTAAGAATAAACCAAACTTAACAAGTTCAGTAGATATCACTTGGAAAGCGGGATTTCAGAGGGACATGATGTACACAAACCTGTCTTCTACCCCAGAGGGCAAAACGTTGTATCAATTTAGATCTCCGACTTGTTAATGCTGGTAGATAGTAAACAACAGAAAAGAAAAGAAAAGAAAAGAGTTAAGAAGTACATCTTAGATGGATTCTCCAAGCTTTGAAGCATTCATGGAGTCAACCTCTCCTTCAAAATCTTTCATAAGTGACTGTAGATTGAGTTTTTCTTGCAACTAACAGGACATGGAAAGCATGAAGTTCTAGCATGGTTCATGAGAACTTTGTACAGTAACTGTATGTAAACATTAGGGTTCTTTCCGGCTGACCAAAGATGCTTAACTGCTTATGTTCCAGATACCAGTTCGATAACCCAAAGACATGAGAGCCAGCTCCCACAACATGTTAAGAATGCTTAATGGATTCACCTTTGATCCTGGGATTTCAGACCAGTTTACTGATATTTCAAGTATGGGGATATGGAAGTATTTACATAAGTACACCAACTCTACGTCGAAGCACCATCTGCATGAAGTGATCATAAATCAGGTTTTGTTAGAGTATAAAAGCAAAAATGTTGGAGCAATAAGTGCTATGATGATATTAATGAGATCGTGTATGCGTATGCTATAGAAAGGGTTTCGTCAGGTCATAAGGGAATAATTCAATGTTATAAAGCATTTTGCTCAAAAGTCTTGAAAACAACCCTTTAAGCATTCAATATTGTTAATTACTTGCACATCCTTTAAAATTCAAAAGGTGCATGTACTTACGTACACGTACAAGTTCTTGAAGCTCTTTGACATCCATAAAACTAAATAATAATGAACGATAAACACGTTCAGATATAGTAATACTCAAATAAGATACGTCATCATTAAAAACTAATATGAATTACATCTTTATTTTTAAATAAAATCAAACAAATTATACCAAAAATTGATTTATAGTATTTAATTTGACACCTGTATCGATATTTTTTTTGGGTTTTTTTACCGGATCTTCAAATTAGCGAAGACAATTTCAACGCCACTTGTAATTTCTATTTTATTCAAACATAAATTATTGATTTTCCTTTTTAACAAGAAGTTGCATTGATTTCATTCTTGTTTTACAATAAATCTTACATCATTATATGGGTACACGAATGAAAACAAGTTAGTCGTGTACCCATATAATGATGTAAGATTTATTGTAAAACAATTTAGTCATCGGTACCTCTTGGAGGAGAATTTATGAGATATAGCATGAGTAGTGAACTCATCTATGGCTTTCTTACCTCTTCAAACGTATATTGGTGAAAAGCTTCCTTGCAGCAGCTCTACTAAACATCTTAAAGCCACACTGCCATACATGGAAAGGTTCGTATTATAATTAGTACTCCCTCCATTCCAAAATAAGTGCCCATATTTCTAATTTTTAGTTTGTCCCAAAATAATTGTCCACTTTCAAAAGTAAGTGCCTACTTTCCCATTCTGACCTAGTGCCCTTATTATAAGATGATGAAATTCATTACTCTCAATGTTATTAAGGGTACAATTGTCAATATCTCATTTAGTTAATTACAAAGTATAATTATTACATATCTCTAAAACTGTGTCCTTTTTTATTGTGGACATTTATTTTGGGAAGGATGAAGTACAACAGACCAAGAAAAACTCAAGAAACTTTTCCATGTTTTTTTTTTTGTAAGGGTGTCCGGGCCAAAGCCCGACTAATCCCCGGCAATTTTGGAGGCTAAACATGGCCCCACTTAAATGTCGCCAACACTTCCCTTCCCAGGGCTCGAACTTGGGTTCATGACTATGCCATGCCCAAGCCTTTACCACTAGGCTGGAAGGTCTTTGACAACTTTTCCATGTTTTTGTCAGCTTAGTAACATACTAACATACAAGGAGTTAAGAAGAGCACATATAGTTGGAACAATATGATAAGAAAAATAACCTGTGTATCACGAACTCCACGACCAGCAGCTAAGAGGACGATGACATGGAAGCCTTTCATCAAAAAGTTCCGGTACCACTTCCTCTGGAGCATAAAGTGGTTTTGTTTATTAGAAATAAACATTGGCAACCAAAATGAAAGAATAAACTTGAGGTGCTATTACTAACTGTAGCTAGAGCTTTCTTTTCAAGATGAGCACGGGAACCAAATGCCACAATTGGGATATCTGCAATTCCTTTACTTGAATCACTAGCTACCTGACCTTTCGTTTTGGCAACTGCAAGGATCTAGAAGGAAAAGCATTTAATGCCCGTACTCCATATACATTATAACGGACTCTTATTGGTAATTAGTGATGATGACATTTTTAACACGTACATGATCTCAGGGAAAATCAAATGGAAACCACAAAAATGTTGAGAAACATACAGTGTGGTTTCATATATGAAAAAGATATAATTTGTTTCACATGTGAAACAAAACATGTCCATATGTACATTTCATATATGAAACACACACATATGAACAAGAAGACCACCGTGGATCCTAGCCTAAATTGGAACTCATTGAATGGTTCGGGTTGGTTCTCAACATTTTTGTGGTTCTCATTTGATCTTTCCCTACATGATGTTCTATTGATCCTTGTTAGTGACAGCAACCTGATTTTCAAGCTTTTCTAGGTCATCAACTTTTGTTGCTCCATCAGCATCCAACATAAGAAGTAGTTCTCCCCTTGAATGTAGCATTCCCTGTTTTTGCAATGCTTTCGCATAAGCCAAGAGCTTAGATCAGTCGTAGTGGCATGAACCATGATGAATAAAAGAAGAGCTTTAACATCACGAAAAGCCAACTAATTGCTCACTTTTCTTATAGCTTCTCCTTTGCCCTGGTTCTTTCTTTGAAGAATAACTCTGACATTGTCTACTTTATTTTTCCTAACAAAATCAAAGGCTATTCTTTTTGTTCGATCTGAACTTCCATCATCAATGATTATAATCTGTTCGAGAATCCATTCAATTAGAAATATATCAAATCTGGGCTTCAATGTGAAATATGCAGGATACCATTAATGACCCACTTGTTAACAATAAAGTTCAATGCTATAAGGTAAAAAGGAGAATTATTATAGATGGGAAGATCATTTAATATGGTTCAAGCTCATTTAAATTGCTCTACTTTTTGATGGATAGAAAAACTAATGAAAATTGTCAACAGACATTATAAATGGTCAAATGTGCTGCAATGAGCGACAAATAAGCTTATACAAGAGGTTGCATAAATTGAGCATACTTGATCCAAGTAGACAAGTACGAATATGCTTGTTGTGATTATTTTAATAGTTGATATGCATAAATTAGTAAAATTAGCAACTTCCCATGTATTTCCCACTCACATAGTCTCCCATTTGACCTCGACAAACTAGTCTTTACATTCGGCTAACTAAGCCTATTAAGGTAAATGTTGATTATTCTTTCCAGACCATGTTCGAGCGAACTATAGTAATGACTAAGGAACAGGAGGAAAATTATTTTATGACATTCACTAGAGCAGGAAAACAATACCTAGAACGGATAGACTATTGAATTCAAATGTGTTGATTATTTGATGAAATTTACGTTTTTAGTACATTTGATTTTATAAATATGGTAAAAGGCCTATCCTTAGGGTTTTTGGACATTTTTATAAATAAATCATAAGAGTGAGTTATTTTGAAGATTTATTTATAAATGGAGATTATTTGGTGATAATGCACTTTTAGTGTATTTAGCTTGGAAAATGCGAAAGATGGGTTTCCGAGTTAATCATACTTTTGGAGCATGTGGTTGCATAAACGTTGGTTAAATACGTATTTATTGCTTATGATGACTTCTATTGAATAGTCAATTGAGTTATTGAGCTTTTGGCTCAGCTTCGACTCAAATTTGTCTTGAGGACATTTGTCCATTTTAATTTGCTCTATGTCGAGCTTTTGGAGTTGTATGCAGTTATGGCATATTTATTTGAAAGTTACATGCTTTGGGTGCGTTGGTCATTCACCTGGAGTCATGTAATGTAGACTGCAATGCAATGGATCCACAGGCATAGAAGTCGGTTCGTTGGTTTGAAAAAGGGGATCATCATCCCTGTTTTGTAGCTTGGCACCCATACGAGTGATAGACCTAGAGTGGTTGAGTTTGGCGCCTATACGAGTGATACACCTGGAGTGGTTGAGGTTGGTTGTGTCAGTATTGCGGAGAGAGACCCATGTGGGGTTGGGCTTCGGGACCGTGGGTGTTGCGGAGATAGACTTATGTATAGTCAGACTCCGGAACCTATGAGTTGTCGATGTCATTTGGTATTGCGGAGGTGAACTTGCTTAGACACGGACTCCGAGACCAATTAGTCGATGTTTATTGTTTTAAGTGTGGAGTTTTGATGTTCTCACTAAAATTTCTAGTGAGTGGTCACCAAGTTATAGTTTGAGACCTTGGTGGTGGTACCCTATGGGGTCGTATATGGAGCCTGTGGTACTCTATTGAGTCGTGTACAGGGCTAGGTCTTGCGGTGGTGCTTGTTGGAGCTATATATGGAGACCGGTGACTTTTGTGGTGAACTCATCTAAATGACGAGTTGAAATCTTGGTTACCCTCGGGCTTGTGGTGGTACTCACTGGAATCGTATATGGATCCTGGGTCTCGTGATGGTATTCAGTAGAGTCGTATACAGACCCCAATAACCTTGAGTGAAACTCGGTAACATTGATGAATGACTTACTTTATGTTACGCTATGATTGATGGAAACAGGTATCCCTAGTCATCGAAAGGTGTTGTTTTGGGTATTGAGTTTTTATCTTTGTTCTCGGTGACGTTTTGAGTATGGAATGCTTTCCATGATTTATGGTTTTGGGTATTGAACCTTACCCGTGTTTTGGCATTTCGGATAATAGAGGTTTTATCCATGTTTTCTATAATTGAATATTATACCTTATTCGCATTTTGTGTGAGTATTGGGTTTTAATGTCATGTTAAATGGATGTTTTGATTAATGGATTTTAATCACAAAAATGATAGGTTCTGGGAAGGATGTTGCTTTTACACTAAATACATTTCATTTTGGAAATTGTGATTTAAATAACATCTTTTCAGTTTTATTGTTTTATGTCAAAGATGAAAACTGCTTGAACTTACTAGGCATTAAGCCTAACCCTTTCTATTTGTCGGCATGTGCATTAGGTCCTCATTGGGGGAATGGTACTAGCGGCACAATGAAGAGTTGAGCGCTAGTTAGAGGCACGAGGAAAAGTTAGCTATTTGAGGACGTCTCCCATATTTTGGAGATAGCTTCTATCGTTGGGTTTTAGTAACACCCATCCCTAATATAGACCTTGTGTAAGGTTTGGATTATTATTTGTTGATGTTAAATCTAGATTTGCTAGTTGAGCCTGAAGTAATCAAGTATTGATTTATAGAAAGGAATTTACCCTTTATTAAATGTATTATCGAAAGTTTTAAATTAGTCGCTCTGTCCAGATTTGAGGGTGTTACACTATCTTTGGATGGGTTCCATTTTTTAGAGAGTACAAATTCTATAATGAATAAACATGGTGCCTTGTTTCATCAATCCTAAGATACTTTCTGTTTCAACAGATGATTCCTAATCAATGTTAACGAACATATAAACGGTATAGATTGTCATTGGTTTGGCCTCAAATCTTGTTTACACCTTGGTGCCTACTTCCTATTAAACATCTGTCCAAAATTTTGCATGGTTTTTTGTGTTCTTTTATCACCCAGACCTTCAATAGTGGACATCAGATCCAAAAAGTCCCCTGAATAAATATGTATTCAATCATGAAATTGAGAACTTTATTGTACAAAGCTAGAGGCATATAATAAATATTATCGATGTGTCAGGAGAACCTTAAAATAATCACCAGAAGGGTTACAAAATACCTCGTATGAAAATGATTCGTCCTTTTTTGAACGTTGTTGAAGATAACTGCACATGGAAGATTAAAAATTATAGCCAATTCCATATGCACAACCACTTAGCAAGTTTGCAATGTATGTTCATGGGATGGATACTAATGGAACTGGGTTTCTTCCACTAAATTTTGAGGAAATTGAGAAGAGCACCAAAAGCTAATCAAATTATAAGCAACCAGCAACACAAGTTTCTAAGATAAATACTACTTCTCTGTCCAACCCAATGTTTTAAAGTACGGAAACGTGAGGCGAGGCGTTTTTCCACAGCAAGGCGCCTCGAGGCGGAAAATAAATAAAATTCAAGATAATATATCTACACCAAATTATTATCACCAGACACTATATACACACAAAATACATAATACATACACACAATATATACGTATGTGAGTTTTGCCACTAGACATAATTAATATACATATATATACACTGCCACTACCACTACCACTACCACTACCACTACCACTACCATTAATATATGTGTGTATGCATATATATATATATATATATATATATATATATAGATGCATAACACTATTAGTCTGCCACTACTATCAACAAAGAATTAGGAAGTGGGCTGTCAAACAAGGTTCATTAAGCCAAAAACATATAAAACTTGGGCTGTGAGGGAGAGGCCAAGAGAGGGGGACAACGGGTAGGAGAAATGGAGGTTCGGGCGGATAAGTAAGCCGTTAAGGAAATATAATACATATATTTACACACACGTATACATTCACCTAATTCTTCAAAGTGGGAGACTTGAGAAAAATAAATAAATAAATATATACTGTGTCGGTCTTCCATTACAACTGACATAGAAATATATGAAGTAGAAACGTAACAGAGTCGAAAACACCGACACTTTTCCTCCAAATAAAACGAACGCCTCTCTCACGCCTCACCGCTCCCTGCCTCAGTAGCGGGCTCATCTTTGCAAAGCGTACGTCACATACAGGCTGTGAGACATGATCATTTTTTTGGCCGCCCCAACCGGTTTTTAAAACCACGGTCCAACCAAAGCAATGTGAAGATTGCAAATTGGTACCCATTTCTAGGAGCTATTGATCCATTTAAATAAAAAACTTATTAGATCTTTTTAATATTATAAGTTGGAAACAATATTTCAATAAAAAAGTGAAAAGAACAATAATTTAGATGGCTTTCACTTTTGTGTCAAAAGGTGATTGTGTTTGAAATCTCCATGGGATGAAGGGAGTGCTATTTAAAACTGATTAGCAGAACTAAGATAATAATGAACAATAAGAAAATGAAAAAAGCAGTTGGACAGCATTTAAAATTTCAACTTCTGGTGGGATTTCAATGATTAAAATTGTAATTTCAACTGAAGAATCATGCTACGTATAACAAGTGGGTTTGCATTTACTCACTTCAGTGCCTCATCAAGAGCTGCAGGTAATCTATATTCTTCATTATAGGCAGGAATAATCAACGAAATGTACTTTTCTGCAGGATCGTTGATATAAGGGCATTGAACCTGCAACAAGTGGCCCCAACAGTGTTAACACACACTGCCTATATCTGAAATTCACACAATTTATACAACAATGAATTGTTAATCAAACTCTTCCCAAAAAGGAAATTAATTTGCTTATGTTTGTTTCTTGGTATGATGCCGCCAGTTTACAAGCACACATTCTTATATCAGTGTGTTTTACCCAGGAATCCCATATCAATCTTCTAGCTATTAGAAAGGTTGACAGTTCATTCATTCTAGCTTTGGGATCATCTCGCCTTTGTGGGTCTCCGCTTTCCAGCAAGCCCTTGAGGCTAAGAAGTCAACTAGCGGTCTAGGAAGGCTAAGAAGGCAACTAGCTGCTTAGACAATGACGATCTTTCCAGTCACGGATTTTTGCAAATGAAGAAGCTTCTGCCTTCTTGTGCAATAACTAGTAGATGTTCACAAAATCATAGATCAATGTGATCACAACATTCTACATAAATTACAAACAAGGAGATCTACCCAGATCCCAGAAAGGCAACCACAATTCAGTTTGCTAAAAGTAATAAGAAGCAGAATTGGGTAAGACCATCTCCAACCACAAGTCCACAACACCAAATTGGTGGTGGGTCCATTAACACCCAAAAAGGTAATTCAACTCCAATCACACTCCACATATGCCGTTTTTGAACAGGAAAACGCCATATATGCCGTTTCTCTCCCATCTCCCGCATTTTTCTCTTCTTTTTGCTGGCCGGTTGGAAGTTTCCAAACCGGAAATGATGTTTTTGCCTGCCAATTGGAGATGTCCTAGTAGATACTAAACTATTCCAAAGCTAGACACTAGAATGTCAAATGGTTTTCTGAGTCCCTAGCAGCATATGAAATCTTTCTAAGACACCCAAGTAGCAATATATCAGCATTTGAAAGTAAGCAATCAAAGGTATCCGATGCCTTCAAAAAGATCAAACGTCTCACTACAGAAACTGAACAATCACAACTCGATGAGCAGAACTACAGCAAACAATCATCAAGAAAATACAGATATGAGAATAATGATAACAGATAATAAATAATAAAAGGCACCTGTTCGAAGGAATTTGGGTCTTCAAAAATCGGGTGAGCTTCGAGATGACTGTCATAATAGATACAAACGTCAGGTTCATATACACATTATACATGAATATCATGGTAAAAATTAGGGTTCCAGATGAGCATACGCATGGTTGAATCGTCTTCTGAAGGTTTCAACAGCAATTGCCACAACTAAACCAAACCCAATAACCAATGTTACAATCACCACCAGTTCAAACATCATCGTCCATCTCCATCCCCATAGTTCCATATCTCCTTCCGGCTCCAATGCCACACCATCAAGTTACAAAATAGCAAGAAAAGATTCTTGGTATCAACCCTGAAAAAACCTCAGAACGAACTGGTTTCCATAAATCAATAGACGGAAGTGCAACTGACGTAGACATCAGCCCGTCTAGCTCAGTTGGTAGAGCGCAAGGCTCTTAACCTTGTGGTCGTGGGTTCGAGCCCCACGGTGGGCGTTTTTTCGTTCTTTTTGATTGATGGTGGACATGCTAGTTTTAAAAAGCTGGTTTTAACAAGAGAAAACAAACAGCCCGTCTAGCTCAGTTGGTAGAGCGCAAGGCTCTTAACCTTGTGGTCGTGGGTTCGAGCCCCACGGTGGGCGTTTCCAATTTTTGTTTGGTATTCCTCCATCCCTAGAATTAACATCTGCTCATCGTATCAACTCTTTCAATTCATCCTCGTTTCAATTCATCCTCGTGCAGCCGGATAATGGCCCAACAGATTACAGAACTAATAAAATGCAAACAAATTTAAGCAAGGTAGTAAGCACAATCAACATTTTAGACTTGTCGAGTGATGAATGAAACTCAATTTTATTTTCTTTGGTACTTCAATTACACCTCCTCTATTCTGTATATGTTTGTTCTCTATATTTAACTCAGCAGTGCACTCTTATCATGTGATTGTGAAGGGAATGAGATGAGCTACGTTCATTCTTGGCTTGCATCTGCTACAGAAGGACGCATGTAGTTCATCTAAAGAGAAAGAAACTCATGGTATTGGTGTTCTTTTCTTATGATTTTGTGGGTGTAGAATTAAGATTCCAATCTTTCTTTTTTCTTCATTCATATTTTCTATTTGTGTAAGTTGATAATTGTGTTTCACTGACTTGCTCCCTCGGTAGGCTTTGTAATTTGATTATTATAATGTATATATTGATAAATGTTTATAGGACTCATTTGAGAACCTCCTGATCAAGGTTATAGTTGCGAATATCTTGAAATGAGAACATAATGTAACGTGAACTCTGGTGAGTTGGGCTCGGATAATTTTTCAAAAAGGTAGCTTGTTTACTTTCCACTTTTTCTATCTACATGTCCAATGTCATTAGTTCAAGTCATAAATGTTATTGTATTACAAGTGATGTAGTTTTTATTTGAATTATTGTGATGAGGTCAGTTGATTTTTGTAAAACCCAATAATTTCGAGGAATAAATACTTTTTTTATTTTTATTATTACCTTTTTCATTTTTGGATTATAAAACATGTGTGTGTGTGTATGTATGTATGTATGTATGTAAAGTCAAGCTATGGGTGAAAATCGTAAATTTCGTTAAAGTAAGCAAGCCAAGGGGTTGTAGGTCATTTTTCATAGTACAAGGGTAGTATCTGGTGTAAAGTGGTCCAAACCCGAGGGACCTGTTTCTTAAATAGGACAAACCCTGAAATTTGAAAGTGACTTTTCAATGAGAAGTTTAGAGAGTTTCAATTGGCTTGGTTGGTCAACGAATAAGCCAAAATAAAACCAGATTTAAGTAGGCTTCGTTGTCCTCTTCATTTAGATTCAAACCACTCAGATTTTCGTCGAGTTTTGAAGGAGAAAACTGGGGTTGAAGTTCAAGGTCGAAAATTCCCGTTTTTCGGCTATTAGAGGTAAAATACTCAACTAAAATCCATGTTATTTATATGGTTAGCTTCATTTTTAAGTCCTATATGGAACCCTAAAGTCTTATGTTCCAGATTTCGTGTTTTATGATTCGATTTTCAGATTTAAAATTTCGTTCAATTTAGTTTAAAACTAAAACTTTAAGCAAAAAAATGGAACTCATTTCTTGACGAAAAATTTTGTTCCTTATGTAAAAATATTACTAAGGGTTTGTGTAAAAGAGCGAAGAAAATAAAACAAAAAACGAGTGAAAATGAAGCTCAAAGAAGTTGAAAACGACAACCATGGCTATTGTTTGACGGATTTCAGCTGGGTTTCAAGGTTGACCCGCATGGGTCTTCACTATTAAATTTTTTAAAGAGGTCGGGGTTCAAACCCGTGACCTCTAGTATGCAAAGTGGGCGCTCTAACCATCAACTCCAACAAGTCTTTGTATTCTACGGTTCACAATAAAAATATTTATGTTCACCTACATGTTCTTATTTTAAAAAAATTTAGCATAGTCCTTAAAGTTTCAGAAATATGATTTCCACGCAATAACTTTATGAATTTTTTGACAAGATCTATTTGGAATTACAAAATGAAATTTTTGCCCAACTTTGATAAAAATTGTTTTATGAAATTACCAAAATACTCTTACAGTTAAATAACTGTTTTTTCCCGAGCGATATGAAATATCCTAAATAATTATACATTTAAATTTGATATTTTAATTAATTATTCTTATATGGGTGCTTACAATAAATCATTTATATATTTAGATGATAAATAAATAAAATTTATAATGTCGTAATAAGGAGAGTTATTATCGAACATTTTTTATATTAGAGGATTTATATAAATTATATATTTCCTAAGAAGAGGTGTTTACGTTAAATACTTTAATTATTTAGATGATTTTAATAATAAGATTAAAGTGTCGTCTTTGAGTTTAATATTATCGAGACGCTTTTAATTTAGAGAGATGGATTTATAAAATCATAAAACGTTTATTTTGACGTTTTAGGATGTCATCGAGTTTTAGACTTCGGGTTTGACTAAAGTTAGTCGGGATTAATCGAATGGACAATGGTTGACTTTTGTTACGTTTGACACATGCGGATTTTAATGATAGGGTTCAATGGAGTTATTTGAGGCATACTAGAATTCTCGGATGTGGAACTTGACTTTAGGCCGGGTAGGATTGACCATAGTTGACTTTTATTTATTTTTTTGGAGAAACTAAGTCACTCATTAGATATTGTGGTATGAAATGTGTAGGTCTTCCATCAGAAGTTATCGGTAGTCAACCTACGTAATCAGGTGAGTTTTCATGAGATTTCACTGGGATGCATACCTAAGTACAAATTTATTTTAGCATGATATGAATCGTTGATGATGTGTACGTATGTATGATATTTCAGTTACATACATGTTACGATATATTTTACATGTATATTATTTTGTGAACGGTTGCATGCTATGTGTTTAATCAGTTTTCGAATAATTTTAGCATGCTATTCCATATTAAAGTTTTATGATTAAAGGGTGGACTTTGACCAGTATCATGACCAGTATAAAACACGATCCAAATAAGTGGACGATCAATTAAGACTGACATATCAACCCTGAGCGTGTTTGTGACTAAATGACCATACCCGAATAAACATTATATGAGATCTCTTCTTTTCAGTGTTTCAAATATATTTTTTTTGTAAAAGCTATGACTTTTATTATTAAGCATGCATATATACCTGATATATATGTCAATATATGATTTTATTCACACAAACCAGGAACTCACTGAACTTTATAAGTCGACTATAATATGCATCTCAAGGCCAAGTAGTTCGTGGGTGGATAATGTAACACTCTAAAATAAGGGAATTTTTAACAATTGTTATATTAGAGACTTACCTAAACCTCATTTTGATATTTTGAATTGATATTCAAAATTAT